CGTCAGTCCCATTGACACTTTTTGGGTTTTTTTTCGCTTTTTGTCTGTGATTTCCCCGTAGATCTCAACCTTGTCTTGAACTCACTAACCTTTGGCTGTTTGTTTCCTTCCCCTCTCTCCTTTTCCTATGCTCTTCTATACAATCCTTCCACCTTGTCCCCCTCCTCTCTCCCTCTCCTCCTCCTCTGTTTCTCCCGCTCCTGTGTTTCTGCTCCTCTTCAGACCATGGCCAGAAGGCCTAAGGTGAGCCCAGTCTTCGACAACATCAGGGCTTCACAATTCTCTTGGTTTTAAGGATCATGTGCAGAGTGTGTGAGATAGTTGTGTGATCTAATGAAGGAAATGTGTGAATGTTGAAGAAGATTTTCTACACTAAACATCACTTAACATTTACACAGTAAACTGGAGCATCACTTGTTCACACTGCCACTCACTCTCGTGTGTTCATCTCTACGAAATCATCACTTATCTGTAATCATTCCAGTAATAAATGAGTCTGTTTAAAATATTTTCTAATCCCTTCTAATCCCTTCTAAACTGATCTCATTACTGACATTATCTCAAGTTAACAATTGTTCACTTGCAATTCAAATAGTATCTGAATGAATCAGAACCATTTGTTGTTTCTGTTTAATTTCAGTAGTTACTGAGAGTGAGGTCAAGTGTCTGAGGACTTTTTAAATAAAGTGTAATATAAATGGAGAACAAAAGCTTATTCAACCTAATCTTTGTTTATGTTTTCACTTGGGATAGTGAAGATTGCTACTGATCTAAGATCAGCACTGATTTTTAGTGATCATCCTGTAAACATTTCTGAAAGGAAAATACCATTCTTGTACAACCAGCAACAGTGAAATGCTACTAGATTACTGATCCTTTGTCACAAATATAAATCAGGGCATTTTTTTAAATAAAAATGTAATTTTGAAGAATGTGAGCATCAGGGAACAGTGGATGTTGATGAAAACCTATGTATTTCAGCAAAGGAAACAATCTATTTCTTCTGTCTTTATTGCTGAACATGCCGATCAAAACAATTTGAATAATCTACTGTTTATTATAAATCAGAGGCGGGGCTCAGTCACGTTTCCACAGCAGCAGTTTTTCAGAATAGAACATTTCTATTACTGTGACTTCCCTCAGAGATCATCACTGTTCAGAGTCTCTTTTTTCTAATCATATTTTCTATTTTCTTGGCATGTTCAGCAGCCCAGTCGATCTGCACATGGAAAGGGAGCAGCATCAGGCTCCGCCTCGGCTTCAGCCGGAGAGATGAGCAGCAGTGAGCCCAGTACTCCAGCCCAGACACCACTGGCTGCCCCGGTCATCCCCACCCTCCACTCCCCTGGTAAACCTGAGGCTCCCGTCCCTAGTAAGGTCAGTGTTGGCATACAACAGCATTTAGAGCCATAAAACTGCTGTCAGTTTAAAAGAATCACAAACGAGTACAAGAATGATTTTGATTGTACATTTTTAATGAACTACATTTTTAATTTTCCTCTTCCTAGCCTCCAACCACCAGCGAGATTAGTTCAGTTAAGGTTGATCAAAAACCAAATTAGCGTTCATTGTCTCTCACTTTATTTTTCTATGATGAACTGCACAAAATGAACAAAAATGCACGAAGGCTCTTAGACATGATGATTGTGAGGCTCGGTGTTAAGTGTGAATCATATTTCATCCCCTCAGGAGGAAGTCACCATGGAAACACAGGTGCAGTGTTGTGGTGTGATGTTGAGGTGTTGTTTCTCTTCACTAACAACTGATCCAGCTGTTAAACTGCTGTGTGAAATTTGACAAACAAACTTACTCACTAGTGTGTGTGTGTGTGCATGTGCGAGCGTGTACTCTTTGAGTTGTTCACAGGGTGAGTGCATATAAAATTTAGTGAGTGGATATAGAGTGTGGATATAAATACATATATAAAGTAAACTACATCTGATCTGACACTTTAATCCATGGGTGTCAAACACAAGGCCCCCAGTCCAAACCGGCCCACTAGGGGGTTCTGTCCAGTTGGCTTGATTTTTAAGTGGAAAAAATAGACAAACTCTTCATGTTTGTGATGTTTTTGTCAGTTTCATTAAATTTGAATATTTTCTAATGTACTTGTACATATTTGAGGGCAAATGAAAGGGGGAAACATGGTCTGATTGTTATTTATAGGTACTTATGTTATGAGTGCACTTTTCTGGCCCACTTGAATCTAATCAGACTGAATGTGGCCCCTGAACGACAATGAGTTTGACGTCCCAGCTTTAATCAGTCAAAATTAAAAAGCTGTTAGAAACAGTTGATGAAACAGTGACACTGGAGCAGAGTTAAGTCTGGATGTAACATTGTGAACCAGCAGTCTTAATTTCCTAAAGATGTCGCCTGCACACAGGAGGAGGAGGCTCTTCAGGCTCAGGTGAAGGATCTGGAGGAGAAGTTGGAGACACTGAGGATGAAGCGGATGGAGGACAAGGTCAAGCTAAAGGAACTGGAGAAGCACAAGATCCAACTGGAGCAGCTGCAGGAGTGGAAAAACAAGATGCAGGAGCAGCAGGCAGAGCTGCAGAAACAACTAAAAGAGGCCAAGAGGGTGAGGAGGAGCAGTACTGCTGTATGTAAGGCATGGTCGGTGTTAACTCTGCTAACTGGTAACTCACCTTTTATTTTACTTGGTGGATCATCAAGACAGAATTTCCTGGAAATTCCTGGAAATATTCATGTATTTGTAAGGATTTTACACTGTTAACTCAGACAGTGGCTCTCCTCTTTGGATATGCAGGAGGCCAAAGAGGCTCAGGAGGCGAAGGAGCGCTACGTGGAGGAGATGTCAGACACTGCAGACGCCATAGAGATGGCCACACTGGACAAGGAGATGGCAGAAGAGAGAGCCGAGTCCCTGCAGCTGGAGGTGGACTCCCTCAAAGAGCGGGTGGATGAGCTGACCATGGACCTCGAGATCCTCAAGCATGAGATCGAGGAGAAAGGTAGAGCTGATGAGACTGGTTGTCAACAGCGTGGCACAGTACAGTGAGTCATCCAGAGACAGAGTGATGCAACTCTGTGAAATAAAAAATTATAAGGAGCTGAAAACCTCAGGGAAAGAAAAAAAGGTTTTACTGTCCAGGAATGAAAATAAAATCTGAAGACAGCTGATGGAGATCTGAGGAAACTCTACGTCTGTTTATTTGAATCTTGTTTTAATGACACACAAACATTACCAAACATCTAAAGGGTTACCTTTGTTACTGTTGAGAGAGAAACTGTGGGAATAAATAATGGATATTAAATTGTTCCTCAGGATCTGATGGAGCTGCTTCCAGTTATCATGTGAAACAGCTGGAGGAGCAGAACAGCAGACTAAAAGAAGCTCTGGTCCGGTAGGTTCTGTACCAACATAGTCCTTTAAGACCTTAGTGAGATCTTTCAGATATAGCAGGGGAGGACAAGGCAAATAAATGTCTTTAAAAGAAATGTCTTAAACCTGCACTGATTTTTAATTGTATTTCTTTTGTACGTTATTTGTACAATGGTGATTATAAAGGAGAACATGGGGTGGGCAGCAACAGTCCTAACTATGAAAAGGGGGCGCTACAGACAAAGTTTGGGAGCCACTGATTGACAACCATTATCAAATGATGAATACAACAGTCAGATCACAACAGCTTATTCTCTTATACAACATGTGTGTTTTTGATTTTTCAGTGACATTAACAAATGTCTTAGTTCTTTGACATCATGGAGTTTTTATGATGTGATCTTCGTCCTTGTCAGGATGAGAGACCTGTCGGCGTCAGAGAAGCAGGAACACGTGAAGTTGCAGAAACAGATGGAGAAGAAGAACATGGAGCTGGACTCCCTGAGGAGCCAGAAGGAGAAACTGCAGGAGGAGATGACAGGAGCAGAGAAGACCATCGATGAGCTAAAAGAACAGGTTGGTGGTTTTTGTTCAGCTTTTGTTGAGCTGCTGCAACGATGCAGGGACATAAAACCTGTCCCCCAGGTCCACAGAGTCCTCAGGATCAGGACGATTGTGTGCTGTGTTCCAGGTGGACGCAGCCTTAGGAGCGGAGGAGATGGTGGAGACGCTGACTGAGAGAAACCTGGACCTGGAGGAGAAAGTGAGGGAGATGAAGGAGACGGTGATAGATCTGGTGAGTCAGAGGAATGTTCATGGCCATGAGTTTCATGATAAACCTCTTAGTACATTTACTCAAACCTGACACGCACATACTTTATTGGGTTAAATGCAGAGTGGAGATTTCAGATCAGCAATCCAAGAGTTTCAAACCAGCAACCCTCCACTCATAAGCCTATGTCACACATTTTCTCTGTCAACTCTCAAATATATCTGAACAAAGATCATCAGTTGAGTCAGTGAGGCCTCCACCTCTGTCTCCACAGGAAGCCATCAATGAGATGAACGATGAGCTGCAAGAGAACGCCAGGGAGACGGAGCTGGAGCTGAGAGAGATGTTAGACCTGGGCGCCGCCCGCGTCAGAGAGGCAGAGAAGCGCGTGGAAGCTGCTCAGGAGACGGTGGCTGACTATCAACAAACCATCAAGAAGTACCGCGAGCTGACGGCTCATCTACAGGTTCGGGTGCAGAGAGAGTTGGTCGTGTGGTTGATCGTCCAAAGAATGTGCACCTTTCCTTCTGATGTTTCCCGCTGTGTCCTGTCTGCAGGAGGTGAACAGAGAACTGATGAGTCAGCAGGAGGCCTCTGCGGAACTGCAGCAGCAGCCACCAGCTGAGATGTTTGACTTCAAGATAAAGTTTGCTGAGACCAAGGCCTACGCCAAGGTAAGTGACCTGGACAGAAAAGATCTGCTCCAGATAATAACCAGACTCCACTGTACACTGACTGGTTTCCTGACTGGTCATTCTCAGACTGAACTGCACTGTCAGCTGTGATTTATTTATTGATAGTTTTCATTTTGTTGATTCATAAGTTTTTATCAAAGACGTAGTTGGCGTCCTTCTTTTCTAAGATGAAACCTAAATGAGCACTAAGCAGAAATGCAGTAAAAGAGTTGAGGGGCCTAACGTTGATGACGAGATCTAACAAAATTCACTCACATCTGTTTTGTCTTGTAAACTGGAGAAACAAATGAGGGTGAGATACCAATCACATGTTTGATTTTTTGTCAACTTAACCTAAAATTTAAAAACAGTTCTCTTGACTAAATTGAAACTAACTTTGTTAGAATAAGAATTAGACTTGAAAATGTAAAAACAAGCAGACATTGGCGGAACTAAACAAAATAGAACAGATGGTAAGATGATTTCAAAAATGTCCCAGTCTTGAAGACATTATTATGAACGTGGACGTTATGTTCAGCATCTGTCGGTAAAAGCTCCATGTTTGTCTCACTTGTCCTCCTCTAGGCAATTGAGATGGAGCTGAGGAAGATGGAGGTGAGTCAGGCTAACAGACACGTTTCCCTCCTCACCTCCTTCATGCCTGAATCGTTCCTTCGTCACGGAGGAGACCACGACTGCATCCTGGTGCTGCTGCTCATCCCCAGGCTCATCTGCAAGGTGAAGACACCTGAGGGGAGACGATGGAGATGCTGAAGTCACTGTCAGATGGAGACCTGTGAATGGGGATGAAAACTTGATTGTGTTGTTGTTGTTTTGTGTTCAGGCGGAGCTGGTCAGTAAACAGGCTCAGGAGAAGTTTGACCTGAATGAGAACTGTGTGGAGAGAACAGGACTGAAGGGATCAGTGGGAGAACAGCTGAGCTTCGCTGCTGGTCTAGTTTATTCTCTCAGTCTGCTTCAGGCCACGCTGCATAAATATGAACAGTAGGTTTTCACCAACACCCCACAGGACTGTCACCGACTGGACTGACTGTATGCTTTAATTCCACAGATGTATGTGTGTTTATGTGAATCTAATCTAATCCCCAGTTTATCTCAGACTGCAGACTGACTCTCAGACTCTCAGACTGATCATACACCCACTGTGTCTGGCCCCCCCCCCCCCCCCAACCTCTCAGGGCTCTGTCTCAGTGCAGTGTGGACGTCTATAAGAAGATTGGTTCTCTCTATCCAGAGATGAGCGTCCATGAACGATCCCTGGACTTTCTTATTGACCTGCTGCACAAAGATCAGCTGGATGAGACAGTCAACGTGGAGCCGCTCACAAAAGCCATTAAATACTACCAGGTACACACACACACACACACACACACACTGTCATGTATACCCTGTGTTGTCGTTTTCATTTCTGCCTTATTAACAGAGCTGCACAATTAAGACAAGGTTTTAATTTTGGTGACCTGCTGACACTGCTTAGCTGTTATTAAATGACTGGTTCTCTGCAGCACCTGTACAGCATCCACCTGTCAGAGCAGAGTGAGGACTGCACCATGCAGCTGGCTGATCACATCAGGGTGAGTGTCAACACTGTGACATTAAATCAATTATAATAATCAGACAAACTTCACTCTCTTCTCCCTGGACATGCTCAGTTTACCCAGAGTGCCTTGGACTGTATGGCCGTGGAGGTGGGTCGTCTGAGGGCGTTCTTGCACGCCGGTCAGGAGAAGGTGGACCTGGCAGTGCTGCTCAAAGACCTGGAGACGTCCTGCAGTGACGTCAGACAGTTCTGCAAGAAGATCCGCCGCAGGATGCCAGGAACGGACGCACCAGGAATCCCAGCAGCTCTGAACTTTGGACAACAGGTAAAAGGAGAATCTTCTAACCGAGGAGACAAGTGTCCATTTTCCCTCTTGACCTTCTGACACCGTCTCTCTCTATAGGTCTCTGACACTCTGTCAGACTGCAGGAAACACCTGACCTGGGTGGTGGCTGTGCTGCAGGAAGTGGCAGCGGCCGGCGCTCAGATGATGTCACCTCTGGGTGAACAAGAAGGACTGTCGGCCGTCAAACTGGAGGATGTGGCCTTCAAGGCAGGAGAACAGGTAGAGTGTGTGACGGCTGGACTTCTGGTCATTGAATTGTGGACCTGAATTAAAAAAGAACATTCAACACATGAACAGTCCTTGTTCTTCCAGTGTGGTTGTCTGACTCCTCTTTCAGATTTATGGATCTCATGGAACGAACCCATACGACAGTCTGCGTCAGTCCTGCGGCATCGTCATAGCAACCATGAACAAGATGGCCACCGCCATGCAGGAGGGAGAGTACGACTCGGAGAAGATTCAAAACAAGGTAACTGTAGACCCAGACATCACGGTCACGTGTGGATCAGATTCTGCTCAGGCCCAGGGAACTCAGCTCTCTCTCTCTCTCTCACTTCCCAGAATCCTCCACCAGTGGATCTGAGGGCGGCAGCCCTTAGAGCAGAAATCACAGACGCTGAAGGTCTGGGCATGAAGCTGGAGGACAGAGAAACAGTCATTAGAGAACTTAAGAAATCTCTGAAGATCAAGG